CCCCAAAACCCCCAAAACCCCAAAACCCCTTTTGATAATGTTTGAAATAAATATTGGGAAGAGTAAAGAGAGGTTAATATTATTTTAATAATTATTAATATATAATCACAAATATGATTTTAAGAAGCTTAACTAAGAGATTAGGTTTGATGACTCCACTCTAGTAAAGGGTGTCACTATAAGCTAACTTTATTAATAAGAATAATCTATATCAATAAAGCGTTCTTATTAGATAATTTTCCACAAATCAGGACAATAAAGATGGATAGGAACCAAAAAACATCTTCTTAAACAAGTCTAAAAACCACTAAAATAACAAGATCTTTGAAAAGAAGGTACCAATTCCTTAATCAAATCAGGTCTAGGAGTAAGAATCCTAGAGTACATAATAGGAAGCTCCCGAATAAAATCAATAGTAGCAATAAAACCCAAATCAGCAGAAGTAATATCCTAAATTCTAGCATCAAAATCAAAAATAAAATTAGCAGTAAAATAGGCAATAAAACTAATAGAGAACAGAGGGTAATAGTCAAACTCAAGCTTCAGGAGAGCAAAAACCATAAAACTAAGGACAACAATAAGTCAAGAAAGATAAGCCTTGGATTAAATAACAACATGAAAAAAGACCTCAGCCTTAATAACCAAGAGAATAGCATCAATCTCAACAGAAAGATCAATAGCAGCAATCTAGAAGTGAGGCCACAAACTTATTCTAATAAAAAGCATAATAGCATTAGCAATAGCAATAATAATAATAATAAAGATAGCATTCTCAATAATAGACTTAATCTACTGGCTAGTAACAAGCATATAAGGAAGATGTAATTGGCGAAAATGAATATGTTGAAGACTAAGGCAGAGTATTTATTCAAACTAAAGTAGCTGATGTTAGACTTTCAAGGCAAAGAAAAGTGTCAAGCAGAAAAACAGTAGAGGATATTCTTGAAGGTGAAATTATTCAAGAAATATCAGTCGATACATAATCAAGTATCAATCAAAACTATTAGAATTTTAGTCAGAAATTTGGCATCAATGTCTAACAAGATCAAAGTCAATAGTAGAAATCCTCAACAGCAGCTGAAGGACTTGGAAAATTGGACTTATCTGCATAGATCTAGAATATTTTAGGTGGAGAAGGATTATAATTGTCTGTAATTGAGAGAAGGCAAGATCAGATAAACAACTAATAAGCGAACTATGTTAACGAAGTTGAATAGGCCTTAAAGGATTATGAATTTTTACTTGAAAAAACAGGCTCTGATCATGATATTTTGAAATCTATCAACAAAGAGAAAATTGAATCTTCCCCTTAAATTCGTTCCTTGCTAAAAGATTATCAAACTATGATTAGACTGATTTATAGAGATCCCAAAACTTTAGATAAACCTTAGAAGTATATTCATCCTAACTCTCTTTTTGATACAAATAAGTCTGACCTGTAATAACAATATGAGAACTCAATTTATTCTAAACAGCATAAAAAAATTGAAGAGGTTCAAAAGAAAAACATTACCTTAATGAGAGAAGTTAAGCATGGAGAGGAAGGAATTGACTACAAGTATGAGCCTGCTGAAAATGATCCCACAGTCCCAAATGAGAAAATGTTATTAAGGTAACTTAAGTAATAATTAGTTGAGCTAAAGTAAACAAACCCATTAGAGGCAAGAGAATTTGAGGATTTCGTATTAGCTAAAAATGAGATCGATGACTTAATGACAAAAGATTTTGACCTGAGCGAAGTCAAGTTTTACCCTGGATCTATCAAAGGACCAAGACCAGAGGATGACCCAAGAGCCTATACTAAGTGGTTCGTAGAGAATTAGCCCAAAAAAGCATTTGAAGGTGTAGCTTTAGGTCAAAATTTTTCAGAGTTCGGTGTATCTTCAAAGATTGGCTTAACTGGAAAACACAGTAAACTTGATGAAAAAGCAACTATCATTGAAGTACTAAATCCAGTTAATGTTATGAAAGAAGATATGGACCTTTATCCTTCATTTTCTTTGGCTCCTGAATTTGCAATGAACGAAAGAGAAGCGTATACTAATGATTTAGATGAAGAACTTCCTACATTGATGATCACATCAAATTTCTCACCTAGTGAGCTATCTCCAATCCCTGCTGAGCATTCTTTGAGATATCAAGAAGTCCATCATTAATATGAATAGTGGGGTGTCTTCAGATCCTTGCCACATTTGATGAAATTCGATAACTTATTGGGCAAAACTTTCTAAGGTTTAGCAGATGGCACATTATTTGTACCAAACTATCAACAGCTCATCAACCCACCTTCCCTCTGGGCTTACTATCAAACTCTTCCAAGGTGGGCTAGAGATCATCCAGGAGTTAGAAATGTCATGATGGCATATGAATACACTAAGCCAAATATGGATATTAGAAACAAAGAAATCGCAATGAATTATGCAGTTTCCTTCATTAGACCAATCGACAAGTAACTTGAAGATGTCATTATAGATATTGCTCTGTCCAACAAACTAAGATTGAACGTTCAAAGAGGTAAAGAGGCTATCAACTCTCTAAGATTCTATGAGCTAGATGAGGAGTTACTGGGAACTACTAGTGAAGATGAGGAAGGTGAAGAAGAAATAATTGGAGAAGATGGACAAGTAATTCAGCAACACGAATAGAGAGGCTTTTCATCGGGCATTGATGATGATGAAGATGCTGAGAAGAAGGTTAAATCAGCAATGGAGAGATTTGCTCTTGGTTAAGAAGAGGATGAGAGATCACGTGAACTAACTAAGTTACTTAGTGAAGGTGTAAATATTCAACAAGCAACTCAAGATAGCGAGGCAAACAGTGTATAATCAGATTTCTACATTAAGCCTTACTAAGAAGACATCTATCATAAAGAAGAGCAAGACGACCCAATATTACCTTTGCACTATTACGATAATGATGATGGTTTCTGGTCAGGCTATATTCAATACAAGCAAAAGAGAATGGAGAAAAATATCATGATTACTAACCGCCCCTTTATCAAGGTTTGAAGCTGAGTAGTTAATGAATGATTGAAATATTGGAAAGATAGATAATCAACTTATTTAATTGCACTTTACCTTCTTATCTAAACAACGGGGTTTTGGGGTTTTGGGGTTTTGGGG